TCTTTCCCTGCTTGTTCCCTTCAAATGCATTGTTGTCTTGTACCTTATTAGTGTTAATGATTGATTTCTCGCCATTTTGATTAGTTTTTGTTAATCTTCATGTTATTTGATGGGTAATGCTTACATAGGCCACTCCGAAAGCCAACTTTTCAGACGAAGATATTAAGGCCCTCACAAAGCGTACACAGGACGGAGGGACAGAGGTTGTTGAGGCCAAGGCTGGAAAGGGTTCTGCTACACTGTCAATGGCGTATGTATTCTTACATTCTTTCCTTCGAATTTGATAGTTGTTCTGTCCCTTGGTATTGCAACTTGTTTCCAGTCATAGCATGATGGCAATCTCTTGGGTGTGCCTATTTTTTCTAAGATAGTGGTGAGACGGGCCATGTCCCACTTTTTGCTAATGTTCTTACGATTTTGGAATAGGTGATCTTCTTCTTGGTGAAATTTAGCTTAATATCTATCTTTGGTTATGGTGTTTGATGGATGATTTTTTAACAGATATGCTGGAGCACTTTTCGCTGACGCCTGCTTGAAGGGACTCAACGGTGTTCCAGACATTGTGGAATGCACATTCGTCCAATCCACCGTCACCGAGCTCCCTTTCTTCGCCTCCAAGGTATACTCTCTCTCTCTCTTCAGATTTTGGTTGCAGAAGAAAGAAGTTGGTTGATAAGGGTCGGAGGCTTTGTGCAGGTGAGGCTGGGGAAGAACGGTGTGGAAGAGATATACGACTTGGGGCCGCTCTCTGACTATGAGAAGCAAGGGTTGGAAGCCATGAAGCCGGAGCTCAAATCCTCCATTGACAAGGGAATCCAATTCGCCAACCAAAGCTGAGTCCAGCGAGAGATTTAGTCACATTATTGCTTGGGATGAAATGAAACAAGGGAGGGGGCTCTTTTCAATTTTTCGCATATTTTATCAAATAATTCGCAGCTTGTGAGAGAGATGTAATAACCCACATGGGGCTTTCTCGGTTCAACCCTGTTGAGGAACACATCAAGGCTTCTCGTTTTTGCTAAACTCTTCAGTTGCGTCAGGTTTTGATGGGTCGCCCATTTGGTTTGGTCCGATTTTTTTCAAAACCCACTTGGAAGTATTAGTCTCTAGTTTGATTTGCGAATTCAATAAAATGATATATAATACAAAATTTATAGTTATATATAAGATGATGTAAACATAGAAACTCAAATCTATACATATGTACATAATTATAATTATCAATTTAAACATAAATATGTATTACCCCCAAAAACAATTTACGAGAACCTAAAGATGTATTTATGGACCGTCGATGGTGGATGGATGCGCCCGTGTACTGAGATACGACAAATCCACACATGACATAACATAACATTAGACCAAAAACAAAAGGTGACATATAAATGGGTAAGCCAAGGGGCAGTCAGCAGTGAGTGTAGGTGTTTCATTTATTTCGAGTGGAGCCCATTTGTCATTTTAAGCCACGTCAGCTAGTGATCGAGATCCCACTCACTCGTGTCCGACGTGCCACGCGACGTCACGTCTCCATTCGAATAAACCATTTTTTTCCATTTATTTGCACATTCACCCCGTTTTTTTACCATAATATTCACATTCGCCCCTTAATTCATTTTTTACCATAATATTCACATTCCCCCCTTAATTTTTTTTTTAACAGGAGAAGATGAGTACTCACATATATTGGTGGAATAATACAAAAGAGGATTAGTTTTCGATCCAAACTACTTATCATAGTTTTTGTTTGAAGACTTTGTTAGGCTTAGAAAAATAAGTGCATCTATATATTATAATGTTTGTATTATTGAATAATTAATTTAGTTAGGATATTTATACACATAATAAACCGTAAATACACTTTGTGAAAATACAAATATATCCTCTTATACGCTCCCTCAAGATGGAGCATCGGATGTGACTCCAATCTTGACAAAGAGATCATGAAACGGGAAACGAGGCAAGGGTTTCGAAAGAGCGT